TGCACTGCTCATTTTCATAGTCTCCAAACCGTAAAAGGCACATGTGATCTGACAAATATCGAAGTACTTTTGGGAATCATCAAATGACATACTTCACATCGGGGCAATTCTGGAAATCCTGAGACATATGGTTGTCATACCTTGGATAAGTACAGCCTGTCAGATGTGAGGAGGAGATGAAGGGAAGAAGGAAAGAGGAGAAGTGAACCAAACTATGAAGACGGATGAGGTGTGAGAGAGGATACGTGTATCAAACGAGAAGAGGTTTCAAAACATTTTAGACCTCACATGGTCAGGAGAGGTGGCCCATTCAACTCTTATTATAGCTGCAAGTGACAAAAATCTGATTTCTGCAGCAAGAACTTCACTGGAGGATACAAAGTGCCTGCAATTACTGTCTGAGGAATGTGGGAGGAAATTAAATTATATGCACCTAAGTGGTCTCAGCACAATACACTTTCATGCTCAATATTAAGTTTGCCAAGCAATCCTTGGAGAGTCCTAGGAATGACTGAAATTGTGCTAATGCTTTCCAGGAGATAAGACAGCAGAGGTCATTTCATAAACCACATTTTGACCAGACCGAGAACATGAACAGAGCAGTTTTTACGTCGTGGCTGGCTTTCAACAAGGGAGCTCTAACAGCACTGCCCAGTCCTTTGAGCTCTTACCCAGAAGAAGGCTTCAAGTCGGGAGCTTTGAGGTAGCTGTCCTGGAATGTTCTCAATTTTTGGACTGAGGCTTAAGGGACTTTCCACCTCCCCTTGCCACTGTTTCAAGGCACGGACACAATCCAGCACAGATGGAGGCGCTTAAAGGGGACAGGATGGTCTGACTCCTTTTGGGCAGGAGGTGGGAAATGAAAACTCACATTTTATTCCCTGCACATGATTCAACATCTGTAACATACAGTGTTCCGGTAAACACTTATTGGCAACTATCTCATGAACATGTTAAGTCAGTCAGACTTCACCAGGAAGAGTGTTATTTTAAGGATTTAGCGAGGTATGACAGGTCTTTTCACTAAACAGTCCCATTTAGTACTTTCTAAATACTTGGGACCATCTGGGAAAGAAAAAAGTTGATCCAGACATCACACTATCAACCAGGTCAAATTCCAAACGATGTAAGAATTCAACATTAAACTTTGAAGCCATAAGAGTACTAAAATAAGTCATCTCAGAATGGAGGAAGACTTTCTAATGTAGACTCAAAATCTGGAAACCAACAAAGAAGTTTATGGGGAAATTTGAGTATATGGTGTCAAAGAAACAGCATGAATATAGTTCAGAGACAAACCACAGATGAGGAAAAAAAATATCTGCAACCCTGATTGCTGACAGTCATCTCCCTCGATTAGAAAAAGACCAACAATGCAAAGGAAAAATGAGCAAAAGACCTACAGTTTAGGGCAAAAGAAACACAAAGGACATTAACATGAAAGGTACTCTGCCTCACTCATGATAAGAGAAAAAACAGTCCAACTATACTAACGCACCATTTTTCCCCCCACCCATGAGGTTGGAAAAAATCACCCCCATTTGACAACACACGGTGGTGGGTAAGGTGTAGGGAAACAGGGATCCCTGTGTTGCCGAGAGAAGCCGCCCTGCGTATGGCACCAAGGAGGGCAATTTGGTGCCATCCATCAAAATTACAAATGCCTATCGCTCCTGACACAGCCCATTTCCTGACTCTATCCTACAGACAGATCTCTCCACTTGCATAAGGACATCAAGTTATTCACCTTGGTACTGCTTGTAATAACAAAAGACTGCGAACAACCCAAATGACAGCCATACGGGATTGCTGAAATAAATCAGGACAACTATACAGAGGAATAGTGTGCTTCCATGAAAAAGAATGAGGAAACCACAGACACCTAGAGAAAAGTTGCATTAAGTCAAACAAGCAAGGTGTAAGACAGTAGACACAGCGTTCTACCGTGTGAAAGGTCTGGGGATAGAGGTTCCTATTTGCTCACACAGCCCGCCCCCAATGTCCGGAAGAAGGATGACAAACCAGCAGTCGAGGTTACCTATTTGTGGGAGTCAGCTGGGTAGATGGAGTCAGGTGGGTGGGTGACCAGATGGAGATGGAGGGGTATATAGAATATTAAGCTCTTTCATTTTCAAGTGTGTCAAGTATGACCTATGCAAAATTTGTCAATTACTGTGTTTTTGAAAAAATACTTGGGTCTGATTTTTTTTTTTTTTAAAGATTTTATTTATTTGACAGAGATCACAAGCAGGCAGAGAGGCAGGCAGAGAGAGGGGGTGGGAAGCAGGCTCCCTGCTGAGCAGAGAGCCCGATGCGGGGCTCGATCCCAGGACCCTGGGATCATGACCTGAGCTGAAGGCAGAAGCTTAGCCCACTGAGCCACCCAGGCGCCCCTGGGTCTGATTTTTATTTATTTTTTTTCCTTCTCTGTTCTGGAGGGAGATAATCAGCTGTCACTTCTTGCAGCCTGTGTCTGGCCTTCACGGGCTCTGTCCATGTGCTGACTACACAGGCATCCCCCTCCCGCTGTGGGCGGGGACTGTTCAAGGCAAGTGAGGTCAGACCAAACGGGCAAATGGCTGTTAACCTGGGGTTTATGTGCACAGACTTTACAACAGCAACTGTAACTGTCTGGAGGGTTGCTATTCAGGCAGTTTTGGGGGCTCTTCTCCTGATTCCTGCCACATTTTGGACAGGATGCAGACCAGGACAGGAAATGAGAGTGGACAGAAAGAGGCCATGGCAGGAGATGAGAGGCTGACGGCCCTGTTTCCCGGAAGCACCTGCAGCCTGGTAGAGGAGGGCGGGGCCCTTGTTCTCTGGGAGGCTTTTTATAGAGCAGCAGAGGACAGAACTGGGTCAGGAGGCTGCTGCCAAGGCTCCTGGGATAAAGAAGGAGGGAGGAGAGGGGAGAGTGAGCTGGTGGTCTTCAGCACACACAGTCGTCAAGAGGAACGAGGAACTGTAGGCTCCGGAGGAATAGAGAATGGCAGGGCAACCGCCTAGGGAATGGGGGCGATCTGAGCCCCTGGAGGACAGGATCTCTCCCGGGCCCACTCTTCATCATGGATTGATTAGCAAAGCCCATCCAGCAGTGAAGAGAAGGGGCGCCGCTCAGGACTCAGACTACCACGGGGCCGTCCCACCTCAGCCACCCAAGCTGCGGAGCCCAGACAAGTAACTTCTCAGAGTCTCTGTCGTCCAATCCTCTGGGTGGGGAAATTTATTACAGGCACTAAGCACTTCACATGTACTCCACCATTTCCTCTCCGCAACAACCCCATGAAAAGGAACTATCACTGGACCTACCCTTAGATGATGACAACAAAAAAGTCTTAAATGGCTCAGAGGGCTTTGTTCAGTTGCTTAAGGTCCCACAACTGGGAAGAGGTGGAGCCACGGTGAGAACCTGTCTCTCCCTGAGCCAAGGTCTGTCTGTCTTTGCTACTACATGATCAACAAAGTAAAGTAAAATATGGGATTCATAATCAGGTGGATTGTACAAACACTTGGAGCTTTCCAAGACAGTACTTAACTTCTAGATCTAAATGAAAGTCATCATCCTCTCCCCAAGCTTCCGGCACTCAGAAGTGGAGAAGAAACCAGAGAGACTGGGCAGCTTGAGACAAAATACACCCTCTTAGGAACTAAAATACATTTGTAATAAGCCATTCCCACATCTGGGGCTAGGAACGTAAATCAGAGTTAACCACAGGCCACCTAGCTGTGGCATTGTGTCTGAAGAGAACCTAGAATTAGATGGGCGTTATCTCTGTGGGGCCTGCGAGCTGAGCCACTCTGTACTGTGTTACAGTCAGAAACACATTATGATAGACTGGGCACGAATACTAGGCATTTACATGATGTTGAAGGTACCTTCTAAGACTAGAACTTGGGATTGAGCTAAAGCTATGCAGAGGGGTTTCTTGTTTCACTTGTTTCACTTTTTACCACTGGAGTTTTGGAAACAGATTAGAACACTGAAGTAAAAAGTAAAAAGATCTTAGAAAGAATAATTACATTACCGGTGTCTGCAGTTACCCCTTTTCCCTACAAGGCCCAAACCATACCATGTAGCTTAAGAGGATAGATCATAGAATTTCTCATTCATCTTCCACAGTTCTTGTACTCTACCTTCTCAGATCTCCTAAGTATACCTGATTAGAGTTGATGGGTATCTAAAATTTTATCTCAATGATCTGACTTATCCTCAACCAAGGCAGATGAATCATTCCATGTAAAAACTCTAAGGTAAATACTATAAATTTGTTCACTGAAAGTAATAAACTACTCACAACACAGTATTAGGGAATTATCATAATTGGCAATATTAAATATTAATTATCATATTAAGTAGAGTTTGTATAGATAAGTCTTATACAAATATTATCAAGAGGCCATGTGGGGTGATTAAGATCACATGATCAGGACTTCTAAAGGTTTGCTGTAAATCATTCCAGGACAATTTTTCCCAGTATTTGAGCCACGTAGAACGCGTGTGCTTTCATTTTTAAAAAATTTCACTCTTACGGAAAAACATGTCCTTTATCCCCATTTCCTACTCTTCTTCCTCAGCTTATGTATACATTTAGATTTCTAAAAGATATTTTTCACTTGTAAGGCTAAATGCATGCATTTTTTTTATAGCTCTGAAACATGCAAACATCTGAAATTTTGGAAAGATAATGGATGCAACTGACATACAGACACACCAACATAGAACATTCCAGTATGTCCCCTTCTAGAAATAAACACCCCCCCGCCCCGAAACCGCCAAATAAAGCAGAGCAAGCACACGCGGGACATACTTTCATTGCTACCAGCTACCCGCAAGCCATGTTGGTATTTGTAATTCTTACTTTTGGGAGTTGGGGTAAGACAGGTAAGTTGCAGCACTGTGCTGTCTACAGGACTTTCATCCCCAGAGCAACAAAACAAAAATCCAGCAAGCCAGTCCCAGCCAAAGAGGCATCCCCCGCTTAAGCTTGACCGCCCCTCACCTGCTCCCCTTCTCTCCTCTCTCCCCAGAAGAAGGCACTTCACGGAAACGTCTGGGAAAGCCCTTGGACTTTACTTTGTTACACCCTCTAAACAGACAAAAAACAAAAGAGAACAGGTAGAGAAGACAGTACTTTCAATCGACCACCAAGAGTTCCACATGAATGCCCTCCCTCCCACCTAATACAAACATACCCACCATCGGTCCGAATTTGGGGCATTTTCAAAAGAGAAAGCTTACACATAAAGGGGACTGGGTTTATCAAGTTTTTTTTTGCGGTTCCTTAAGGAATAGGACAATGGGAACTTTGCTCTTAAAAGTGGTGGTTACAGGTTGGAAACCCGTAGGACTCCTGGTGTTGATGGTAGGTAAGGCTATCTCAAATCCAATCATGACTGGATTTTCCCATTCATACATCCAACCTTCCACCTTTGGGAAGATCCTTTGGCAAATGCAATCATTTAAGACACCATTAAAGTCAACAGAACTCAGCAAGACTGTCCTAAGGATCATCTGAACCTCCCCTCTGTCTGTGGCAAATGTATGTGAATGTGGTGTCTTTAGACCAACCAGGGTCTTGTCTTCTCCCCAGGCATGCCTCTCCTCTCCGGACACTTCCCAGATTCACAACCCAGACTGGGGAATTGGAGGGAAGCCGTCATCGAGTTACATCTATGTACCTGGTCTGACACTCAGTTTCCCTGTAAAACTTAATAACAGCAGCATCTGAGTCTTGTTTCTAGCTCCTGAAAGATAAATTTTTTGTTCCACGGCAACACTGGAAGGTGTTTGCTCAATTATATTTATTTCCCTAATAACCTAGGCTATAGGGTTTCACACTGGAATGATTCCTATTCTTTCCAAACTCTGTTGACAGAACAGCAAAGGCAGACTTGCTACAAAGTTCTCTTTCATTGGAAGTTCTGTTGAGCCTGACTCACAACTCTGAATTCAGGTGTGTGATTCCCAAAAGCTGGAGAGCTTTTGATTCACCTGGTACTTTTTACTCTGGGATGAACATCCTTGAATTCTCAAGCGTTAGATTTCTCTTATCTTTTAATACTACCTTTCATTTATTTTGATAATCATTAGCCTCTATATTGGGTAAAAGTGCTTGGCACATGAACCAAAATTTGGAGAAGCCGAAAGCTGGGAATAGGATGTAAAAAGCCTGTGTGGGTCAGGGTCGGGGGCAGGGAGCCCGCTGTAATTCAGAACTCCCTGTCTCCCTCTGTTGAGAACATTCTGGAACTACAACTGTCCTCCAAACATCACGAACGTACTCGGTGCAGTGATGAACATTAATCTGAAGAAATCACGAGCGTGTTGGAGTGTTTTTGCAAATCTTCATAGAAACTTGAAATTTGCAGCTTCCTAAAATATTTAGACTTCTTCTCAACCCTTAGCCTTACTCTGAATTCTGCCAGATTCACTCTTTCGGGAATTTTGGAGCTGAGCCGGCTATCTCCGCAGCTTTTCCTCACACACAATCACAGGCGCTTAAAACTACCACCCGTAAACTGACAACACGTCGCTGAGAAGCAAATGCCACAAAACCAATAACTAATATCTGGAATAATTGCGGGGGCCACCCAAGCAAGCCCACAGGCCAGACACAAGCCATCCTGCGAGAGAGGACACCTCATTGTGAGAAACCCGAAGACAGGTGTTGGTTATGTAGCAAGAGACTCCACACAGGAGCTTCCCTTTCCTGAAAAGTCAGTTTGCTTTTAAAAAAACGTATCCATCCATTTCCTCCTTAACAGAACCAATCCCTTCTTTTCAGTGTCATAGAGTATGTTTAAATGGCAACCTTCAGCAGTGAATCTCTCCCTGCTTTTGTCTAATGACTACATGTTAGCCTGTTCCAAGAGCTTCGACTGGCATCTCAGGGCCAACTCGACAGCAGGGGGCCGGTTACTATAACAACTGACAGTTCTTGTGAATTCTGAAAGGCCCCCGAGTAGCCATTTGGGAAACGGTTATCGAGCAGAAAGTTGCCTGGGATCGGCAGCATTAGCTGACACGTGACCCAGATCCCCGGCACGCAGCTGCAGGGGCAAAGGAAAAGCAGTGCCCACCTCAAGGAACAGCTGGGGACCTCAGACGGCTCCCCACCCCCATGCCATTTAGTGTCTCAGAGCAAAGAGAGCTTAGCATCGCCATATCATCAACCCGAGCCCTCCAAGGCAAGCCATACTTTGCAATCATGCAAAGCGCTTTAGCTCTCCCCACTGGCTTGACACATTGTCAGGATTTGATGGGTTGAATCATAAAAAATTATTCCTGATTAAAAAAAAAAAAAATCCTGAACTATGGCCACAGATACAGGTTCCAGAAGGGGGTGAGGGACATGGGCAGTCACCAGTTTTAAAAGAAAAAGTGATGCCTGGAATACCAGGGGTGCCTTGAGCAGTCTGTTTGCAGAAGAGATAAAGGTGATTGCACAAAGCTGCCACAAAGTGTGAGCTGGAAACCTGGATTTTTCTAGACTTGGTTAAAGCATATAAACCTACTCTTCGTTCCCATTCCCTTCCACACACAAGCCACCTAAGAGCACACTGGACTAACCCAGTGCCTTTGCACAGGCTGAATCCCCTAGCAAAGCATGATTCTACGCACAAAAGGAGATTTTATGGGGCGCCTGGGTGGCTCAGTGGGTTAAAGCCTCTGCCTTCGGCTCAGGTCATGATCTCAGGGTCCTGGGATCGAGCCCCACATTGGGCTCTCTGCTCAGCAGGGAGCCTGCTTCCCTCTCTCTCTGCCTGCCTCTCTGCCTGCCTCTCTGCCTACTTGTGATCTCTCTGTCAAATAAATAAATAAAATCTTAAAAAAAAAAAAAAAAAAGCAGACTTTATTTTGCCTGGACAAGGGGCTGTGTGACCACATCTCCCCTCTGGCAATATGGATCTTGCAAGGACCCAAGTGCCCCGCTGTCAGCGCTGACACAGAGCTCTGCAGAGCACTTATGGCTGCTCTCTGTTCTGTGAAAATCACAGCTCAACATCCTCTCCTCCAAGGAGCCTTCCCTGGCTCGGTCTCATTCCCACCCTGCCCTGGCAGTGGTCAGAGCCCATCCCATTCTCCCTAAGTCACAACTAAAACTCAGGGGAACCCAAACGCAGGGGACAGCCAGGGGAGGGTAGAGACGGACAGGCTGGCCAGCAGGTGCCCCTCTCCCCCAAAAGATATCCCCATGGTTAGCTCTATCCAGCCCACTAATGCCACAGGAGAAGGTGGCAACAATGTTGCCACCTCACCCAATTTATCAGGAGAACCCAGACAGTTGGAGTTTTAAGTAACATCTTCCAATTTTCTAAACAATTCAGATTTTTGAAAACCATGGGTCAGCTAAGTAAAATAAGTCTGGGACCTGCATTTTGGATTACCTTCCTTTACCTGCTCATCTCCCCCATTAGCCTACAAGCTGCCTGAAGACAGGAACTTGGTCTTCTTGCTGAATCGCCCGGGCCTGGCACAAACCAGATGCCAGCCATAAAGGGTCTCACATCAACACAACAAAACCCTAGATTTAAATACTTCTAAAACACACCAGCTCTGTGATCCTGGGCAAGTCATTCCCCTTCTGGACCCAGTTTCCTCCTTTGGGAAGAAGGTGATGCAGTCCGGACCCCTTAGCTCCCACCCAGGTCTGCTAGGAGGATGAAATAGAATGTTTGCTTTGTATAGATTCCACAATTACTGGTTACCGTGATAAGTATTTATGATCACAGTCACATGCATGGGAGACAGCACTCTTAATGGCATCTGTCGTCTCCTTTGTGACTTCCCTGGGTTGGGGGGGGGGGGGACAAATGCTTAGACTGAGTGCAGTCATCGGGGTAAAGCTGGAAGCGCTGGCTGCTAGAGCAGATGCGTGGAGAGCCTGGTCCTGTGCTCACGGCTGCTCTGTGGGAATCCAGGAGGGATCCCTGCTCCAGAGGGGCACGTGTGCGGTCTCTCTGTGATCAGGAGAGGGGTATCACCACCTGCCTCCACTCAACATTCACATGCATCTGTTTTCTGGAGCCTCCATTATACTAGCATGACACCCCCCACCCGCAATTTGGGGTCTGCATCCCCTCTGATTTATTAAGCTGTCTCCCACTGAACATCCAGGGAAGCAAAAAAAAAAAAAAAGGCAACATAAACAAAACTCACCTGTTTTTGTGAATGGCATTCTCAATGAGGAGGCACCAGCACATGGCAAAATTTCTCCCGGTGTAAAGGTGGGAGTAAAAGAGACCTTTTCCCCTCTGCCTGTGAGGTGAAATTGGTGTTGACTGATCTGCCACAGAATTTACAGATGGCTCAGTCATGTGCTGAAGGGGGACAAACATTTCTCAGATCAGATCGTGAAACCTTCCTAATACCCACTAACAAACCTGGGTTGGATGCTACAATAACCACTTAAGAGTTTCCAGTTTTCGGCTCCAGAGTCCATATGGTTGACTAAGTCCTATTTCAATCAGAGAATTAAAGCTGCCCTATGGGGATGTTTGGGTGGCTCAGTTGGTTAAGCGTCTGCTTTCAGTTCAGGTCACAAACCCAGGGTCCTGGGATCGAGTCCTGCATTGGGACCCCTGCTCAGCGGGGAGCCTGCTTCTCCATCTCCCTCTGCTGCTCCCCCTGCTTATTGCTGTCAGATCAATAAGTAAAGTCTTAAAAAAAAAAAAAAAATAAAGCTGCTCTACATTTCTGGAAAGTTTTTCAAGCTAGAATTATGGTCAATGAGATGCTCAAACTTGACATGAAAGTAATATAGCACTGATCAGCTGGTATAAGAAAGAAAACACAGGTTATCTGATTCAATATCACAACTTACTCCGTTTCTCAAACCCTTGAAATTATAGTTGGTCCTGTAAAGTTTTCTTCCACATGACTTGGCAAATGCAAACCATAGAATTTTTTTTTTTCTTTTTAAACAAACATGCTATCAAAACAGGCTGTGGAAAGAAGTAAATGCCTTTGGACATGCTACTCCTCATTTAGGCAAAATAAGCTCATGATTAAGAAAGTGGCTGGGCTCAAATCCAGGATCCACCAAAAATTAACAGTGACTTGGGCATGTCACCTGATTTCACCAGT